CCGGAGGACATCATTGTATAACAATAGGAAAAATAAAACTACACATTTGTATTTCCATAAAGATATTCTGAAAGGACATCAAGACATTAAAAGTATAAAGGGCAGGTCAGGATCTTTTTACTGTGTTTGCCTTATTCGTCTTATGAACTATGCAAATATAAATCACCTATCAAAATATACTAAATAATAACCAAAAGAAAACCTCTACATACTTCAAGTTTCACAGTAAGGTTTTCCTCTACCCATACCTAATCAACTGTTTTGACCCGCCATTCATACAACCATACTCATCAATGAATCATTTTATGTAAAGTCTGAAGGCTTTATAGAATGAAACTTGTGCAAGGTTGGCACTTATGTAATATAAAAAATCTGTTATCGTCATAATATGTAATTTTTCTTTCAATTGACATTCTGATGTCTCCAAAATTTGCTCACTAGAATACAAAGGTACATTTCCTACTTTATCAGTGTGTGTGTGTGTGTGTGTGTGTGTGTGTGTGTGAGCTCAATTGTGTCCGACTCTTTGCAACCCCATGGACTGTAGCCCACCAGGCTCCTCTGTTCATTTGATTTTCCAAGCAAGAATACAGGAGTGGGTTGCCATTTCCTGTTCCAGGGGATCTTCCCAACCCAGGGATTGAACCTGAATCTCTTGCATGTTCTGCATTCATAGGTGGGTTCTTTACCACTGTGCCACCTGGAAAACCCTGTTTTATCACTACTGCTGATAATTTATGGAATATAGCCTTTCTACCTTTAACAAAGTCCCCATAAAGGTTTTTTAGAAATTCATTTTCATGGGCAATAAATGAATTTTTCAAAAACAACATAGTATTTTAAAGTTTCCTAAAATTATAAATTTATCATGGAAAATTTATAACATTAAACCTGTCAGTACCTACCCTCTTTCCATTTCTCTCTTGTTCAGTTATGAACATAAGCCCTGAGATGTTATTAAAAACAGTGACTCACCTTGTTTACCTGAACTTTGAATATAGAGTACTGATGACAAAATTGCCATCCCAGATAAGAGTGGGCCTCTAGACCAGTGGTTCTCAACCAGGGGTGATTTTGCCCCCAAAGACATCTGGCTTTGTCTAAGGTCATTTTGGGGCTTCCCTGGTGGCTCAGTAGTAAGTAAAGAATCCAACTGCCAAGCAGGAGACGCAGATTCGATCCCTGGATGGGGAAGATCCCTTGGAGAAGGAAATGGCAACCCACTCAAGTGTTCTTGCCTGGAAAATCCCATGGACAGAGGAGTCTGGCAGGCTACAGTCCATGGAGTTGCAAAAAGAGATGAATACAACTTAGTGACTAAACAACAGCAAAGGACATTTTTAGCTGTCACAATCAGTTGTGTTTTACCAGCATCCAGTGGGTAAAGGACAGGGATGCTGCTAAAGTCAGGAGCACCCCTCACAACAAAGAATATAGCTCCAAATTTTGATATGTTGTAGTTGAGAAACTTTGCTCCACACAGTAGACTGTAAATAACCCTAAAGGAAATGATCCATCTCCTATTAGAGAAAATCAGAAGGAACCTCTGTATGGCTTTTGCGTTTGACTCTTAACATAATTTTCAGGAAAAAAAAAAATTCCCTACAAAGCTTTTGCTATAATTTGCTATAAAATGTTAAACCCCCCCCCAAAAAAATGTTAAACCCAATTTCCTTTTGCTTTTACCTAATTGTAAACAAGCATCTGCCTCAGATAAAAAAGCTTCAGCAATGCTTTCTAATTAAAATGATTTCTAATTTCTAATGTTTTAAGTGTGTATGGGAACAAGCAAACATATACGCATTGGCTTATATAGGCCTAGAAATTTTACTGAAAGGGAAACTGTAATACTCATTACTTCTGAGTGGGATCTGAAGGGTCAGTAGGGGTGAGGAGAACTTTTTACTTTTCATATTATATCTACTATCTACACTGTTGAACTTTTAGCCATAAGATTATATTACTTTATTATTTTTTTAATTTTTAAAGGAAGATGTCACACATATATACATACAGTATATGCATACGTTCTTAACACAGAAAAATTAAAGGTCATAAACCTCACCAAAACCCTCTCTTTAGAATCTTATTTTCCTTTTATGTTACTTAAAAAAAAAAAGATTACAAATCTAAAATTAACATTTAAAAATTAGTTTTTAAATAATTTTCAACCTGACTTCTATTCTGAAAAATGGGTACATTTCAAAAGAATCCAGGGCAAGTTCTCACTTTTCTGTTCAAGGACCTTGACAGCTAATGAACATGCTCAACATGCCTGAAGAAATACAAAACAAGTATCCACCCCAATGTTTAAAACAACAAGAATCAATTCTAATGTAAGAAATGTACAAAAAGATCCAAGCCATTTCTTCAAATTAAAAGGTCTTTTGACTTAGCCAGCAAGAGAAAGTACTTTTTTTTTCCCTCAGATGTAGGCTTTAACAAAGAATAGAAAAGAGATCCTTAAAGTATTTATATCTTTGTATACCAAATATATACTGCCTACTCAAAATCCTTCAGCTAATTCTAGAGCAAATGCTCTAAGCCTCCATATTTCTTATTCTTCTCACCTAGGCCTGCCCCACTTGGGGAACAAGACAAACTTTACTCACAAACTCTTCTCTCTGAATGTCTACATTCTAAATAATTGGTTCTGTCTACGGCCATACCACCCTGAATGCGCCCGATCTCGTCTAAATAATTGGTTCTAAAACATCTAGGTATGATGAAAATAAAAATTCTACTATTTTTCATCAAATGCCAGTTGGGTGAGTATTTTTTGAAGAATATTACTTATGATCTTTCTACATAAATGAAACTCAAAGGTAATAATAAGGGAGAAGACTATCATCTTGTCAGAGAGAAATGAGAAAATCCAAGAAATCTGCTTGAGAAAAAAAGGTCATTTCACTTACAAAGGCACAGACTATACCCTACCACACATTCAACATACACTAGATATTCCAGGAATTTCTTTTTTATATGATATGGATGAATAGGACATAAAAACAATATTTCCTGTCTCCTCAGGTTAAGAAAGAATCTATATGCATATCAAGCATTATCTTAGCCTAGGCTCAAGTTTGTGGGTACTCCAGAAATCTCTATCCAAAAGTGATGTCTACCTATATATACTTAGTATCTAAATCCCTTAAGCACAGAAAATTTAGGAGAATAAGAGGTTCTTCTACCATTAGCCTAAGTGGCTGAAGGAATTGTGAATAATTTCTATGATAACACGGAAGAAAATCACACAAAAGGTGTGAATTCTGCTCACAGCTTTAACAGCTTGGTGTGGAGACTCCAAATGAAATAATCTGTGTGTCCGAACAAGTCTTGCAAAATTGGTTATTTCAAAAGCTCATTTCTCCAGCTATAACACACAAGCCCATAGTTAGAGACTGATAACTACGGAGTCTCACTAGCACTCTACCTCTGAAGAAATTTAAGACTACTACTGAAGTAAAAACAAATGTGTGATCTCTCACTTCAATGACAACTGTGCAAAAATGGTCCAGAAAATCAAGATCATCATCCTTCTATCACATTCAGACCAAAGCAAACTTTCAGTTTCTGTAACAAGTTTCAAAGAAAAACAGACACTAATTTTTACTTCCTAGGTAAAAAGTAACTATATAAAGTAACTATATTCTAGGTTCATTTCTCATCAATTTTCATTCAAAGTCTAAATGAAAGCCTTCCACAAGCCCAGGAGTGGAAGTGCTCCAGAGACACTTTCTGTAACTGCCTACTCAAAATCCTGTACCACCTTGGCTTAGAAGTTTTCTCTTATAGTGAAATTCATAGAGACATTCAAGGAACTGTCTCCTTTACAACCCACAAAGTTTATCCCAAGCAAAATACTGGAGTTAGAAAAAACTAAAAGAATTCCTGTTCCGATCAAGAATGGTAAGACCGCACTAACAGTATTCTACAACCCACAAATACAGTTTCTCCTTATGCCTCTCAATACAACAGCCAGGATAGTTGTACATACAGAGAAGCCCCTGTACTTTAAGACCAAGATCAGAGGTTAAAATAATTGGTCATAGGGGATGAACCAGGCACCTTAGAATCAAAATAGAGTATTCTAAGCTCTTAGAACAACAGTCACCACAGGACAGAACTATAACAAAGCCATAGTCTGGGGGAGAAAGCACAAACGTCAAATATCTCCTTTTAGCCCTAGAGCCCAAAAGGTGGTGCCTCCCATTCTAGGCTGCCTAAACCTAAAAATGTCCAGTATGCGCCTAACAGCTGAAAGGAACGAAGATCCTGATAACAAATTTCCCTCACTGCAAAAGGTATCCAAAGGGGACCTCATCTTTTCCAAGCCTAAAAATCTCCAGAGTTCAGCTATCCAGCTGTTGCGAAGCCCAAACAAGCACTGGAACCTTCTCTTCCTGTCTAACTTCACACAAAGTCCCAGGTGCAAGGACCCACGTGATTTTTCAGCGCAAAAGCAGAGCTCCTTAATACTCACCTGTCTCAGACCAAACAGGAATTAAGAACGCTCCCTAAGCACACAAGTAAGGCATAAAGCAAATAATGCCCAATCCTTCAACTCAGAGGAGACACACAGTACAGTGGCAATGCTCTTTACGCAAGCCAGCCCTCTCTCTGTCTCTCACCCTCACCCTCTCTCTGTCCCGCTCTCTCAGTACCAAGGGCAGGGACTCTGGCAAGACCCCGCCCCCACCCCCGTCGCCAAAGCGGGGTGGGCGGGAGGTGCCTGAGGAGTCCCGCTTCCCGCGCGAAGCTCAGAGACCAAAGGACTCCCTATTGTGGGTCTGTGGATGGTGACGGGAACCGGTCCGACTCGAGCCGAAGAGTAAGCCGAGGGCGCACTAGGCCCGCACCGCCGCCACTGCAGCCAGGGAGCCGATCGCTGACAGTGAACGACTCCATCTGGGCAGCGGGAGGGTGGCCCGAGCCTTGCGCCGGCCCAGAGAGAATTCGTGCCTCAAGCTGTGTGGAAAGCAGGGGTCCTAGAGCCGTACCTCGGACACCTCGTCCTCGTCGCTACCAGAGGCACCACCTCCACCCCCGGTCCTCAGGACAGCAGCCGCCAACTTGAAATCCAGCGCCGCGTCCCCTCCGCCTGCACCACTGCTGCCGCCACCGACTCCCGGAGCCGGCCCGGCCTCCCCGAAGAGTCTCACAGTGCGGATTCCCAGCCCGACCCCTCCCGGCGGAGGCGGCTCCGAGGCCCCGGCTGGGGCGGATCGCGGAGCCACCGAGTCCAAGTCCTCCTCAAAGGAGGTGCCGCCGCCTCCGCCGTCGGTCAGCATGGTTCGCACGCGGAGCCGGAGACGCTGCCGAGTCACTCGCGGCCGCGGCCACCGCCGCCGCCGATCCCGAGAACGAGAGAAGCAGCAGGAGGAAGAAGCGTCTCCTTCCCCCCCGTCCCAGCAGCGCCACTAACTTCTCACTGCCTAACCTGCTGCCTCCCGCCCCCCATACTCGCCACTGGCTGCAGCTCCCCATCGGCTGCAGATCATTGGTCAAGGCGACCCGTCGCTCAGACTCTTCGTCACGCGCTGCTTGCTGGCTCGCGGCCCTCAAGCTGCGTTGACCAGCTCAGGCCTAGGCGGTTGCGAACACCCGCCTCCTATTCCCCACGCGCCGACTTCCGGTCTTTTTCTATGTCTATTGGCCAGTTTCTCTGACTATCGCCTCACGACCTTAAAGTGGATTAGTTGGCCTTGTGGTCAGTCACAGTGACCCCAGACAATGGGAAACTTCATTGGCGACATAAAGTGTCGGTCACTTTGTCACAGGACGTCGCATGGTACAATTGGTCAGTAAGGATACCATTCATCCCGCCCCCATCTGAGGTGACGGGAAAGGGTTGGGGAATTTCCACTCTTGATTAAAATGACGGCTGAAGTGACGACCTGCAAGAATTGGTGAGATTTGGAGTGAATTCACCCAGGGTTTAGTAAGGCTCTTACGTCAAGTGTGCAAGAGGCACGGAGGTACCGCAGCTCCCACCTGTCGCTTTCCGCCAGGCGCCGAGAGTTGCTGCACGGGGATTGGAGGGAAGAAGCTATCAGTCTCAGATAGGCTCCACCTTCCTGCCAATCCCTGGTTGGAGAAGCGGTGCGTCAGTCACTGGAGAGGTCGCCTCCTCTGGGACAGGTGAGGCTGTATAAACTCAGCTTCAGGCTGTTTGGGTGGGAGTAGGGGATTAGGACGGGCGAGTGAGTGGGGACGTTCTGGCTGCGTGCCACTAGCCTTTCCGAGCGGAGCCTAGACCGCCGAGCTGAGGGAACCAAAGAGGCTGCTGAGGATGACCGCCGGGAGGCGATTCGGCCAGCCTGCCAGCCTGGACGTGGCGGGGCGCGGCTGTTCTACAACCTGCGGGCGGGGTCTCCCCGCGGGGCTACGTTCCCTTGCCTGTTGAAGGCGGCGGGCCTGAGGGCTGGACAGCGCCATGCCTCAGTACTGGGAACTGTCCCACGAAGGAGGGTGGGAAGGCCGCGACAGCGTGCAGAATCACACCGCGGGGCAGAACGCAATGGTTCAGAGTGCGTGCTCTGGCGCAGTTTCGAGTTTTAGGGCCGCCACTTAATTTGCTGTGTGACCTCCCGGCGTTAGTTGTTTAATCTCTGTGACTTTCATTTCGCTCGTCTGCAAAATGCGGATAATTTTAGTACCTCCCTGATTCACTTGTTGTTATGAATAAATTGGTAACAACTTAACAACACTGTGCTTAGCACAGTGCTTATAGCAAAGACTCATTTTTTTAGTCACTTTTCCGGAGTCCTCTACCTACCCCTGGCAGCCAAACTAATTTTTGTCAGGTCTCTGTGATGCGAAACAAGGCTAGCTAAGGGGGTCTTCTCCCCTTAGCTCTAAGGAGCTCTCTCTTAACCTCTATTATCTCTCTCTATCGCCTTTGTCAATAATGAGAGCTTTAAAAGTTTGAATAGAGAATATTCTTTGACCCAGAGAATGTCCATATGAGTTTAACCACGAGAGACTGGCTAAAAACAAAAGCTTTGGTATTGGCTACTCTCTTGCAGCTTTAACAAAGGGCTCTGTATATCTTGGTTGTGTAATTTTTAATATTTCACCTTCCTTGAACTGAAATCTAAAAATTCTACCAAAAAATTATTTTTAAAATGACTTTTAAAATAAATTCTGCCAAACATTTATTTAAAGAGCATTTTGAAGATGGTGAACATTTGGTAAATGCTTGCTTGGCATTTGGTAAATGCTTGGCATTCCGCATGCCAAAGAGGGAATATTTTAGAAGAACAGAACATTTAAGGTAAATATTCCTTCTAGATAGTACATCATAGAAAGTGGGGGAAAGTACCTTTTCTAGAAAACTGTTTTGATGTAAAATGCCATGTACACTGGATTTAGTTGGAATTTGTGGAGCTTAATTACCTTATATCTTCAGTAGGCATGATGACTAGGTCACAACTCAAATTAATAGCACCAACAAAAGAAACCCAGCACTGCCCAACCCACTTCAAAGCTGGATTATCCAGAATTGGTTTGGCTACATCCTTAGGCAAAAACAGGTATTGACTGGTGCAACATTACAAAGGAACTGTTTGTCATTCTTACCACTAATACAAATATAATTCCTGATAAAGCTTCCTGAAAAAACTCTTTAAATTCATTTAAACAAATGTAATGAATCTCAAGGACAGACAGAAAGAAAATCTGGATATATACATTTTCCCCAGTATATTTAAAAAAGAAAAATATACTCTCTACTTAGTTCCTAGCAACCTACCCTGAATATAACTGGGAAAATATGATTGAGCAATGACCTTTGTTTCACCAGAAACTGTACCTGAGACACATGTTGTCAGTAGTTTGACAGTCAGTATTGGAGTTAGGACCTCTCAGTCTCCTAGATTTTGGTGACTGCTATAAAGAGTCTATATTAAATATAATTTAATATTTCTATATATGCATAATTCCTGTGATTTTACAAATGTGAAAATTAATTGAAAAATCATCATATCAAATAACACATTTGATGAATATATAAAGTCATACTCAGGACTTCCCTGGTGGTCCAGTGGTTAAGACTTTGCTTTCCAATGTAGGGGGCACAGGTTTGATCCCTAGGAGGACTAAGATCCCACAGGCTGTGCTGTGCAGCAAAAAAAAAGTCTTATTTAGGGTAAAATATCAGTAAGTATTAATGTGATTTAATGGGTAACCTTGGTTTTGATATATATTAAGATGGTATTTACGACTGGGAAAAAAAAAGAAATACACTGATTTTTCTAATTCTGAATAAGTAGTGGAGTACAATATCCCTCTTAGAAATATATTTGTTGGAAATTAACATTGGAATAAAATATTTCCCACAGAAAACCAATGGGAATACTTGTTAAGGTATAGTTGTAATGTGTTGCAAAGCACTGTCTTCCTTTTGATCATTTTTCAGAGAAGGAAAAGGGAAGACTGTATCACCCAAAGATTTTTTAAACTTTGAGGTAATAAAAGACTTTATTCCTCATAAGAAATATGAGATTGACAACTAAAATGTAGATATAGGGCTTTTAGACACATGTGGTACTTTAACATGCAATCTGCAATTTCTCAGGACATTTAATTTCTGCATGTCAGTTCATCTCAGTTCAGTTCATCCATGTAAGGAGAGAAGGATAAGTAAACCAACAAATTTGTTGCAGTTCGGTGTTATGTCATTTAACCTTTATAATAACCCTGTCAAGATTTCACCCATTTTACAGATAAGAAAATTGAAACTCCATAAAGGTTAAATAGCTTACCCAAACATATAAAGCCAGTATATTAAAAGACTAAGATTTGAATGGGATTTCCCTGGTGGTCCAGTAGTTGGGACTATGCACTTCCACTGCAGGAGGTGGGAGTTCAATCCCTGGTTGGGGAACTGGGATCCCATATGTGGCCCAGCAGGCCAAAAAATGAAAAAGGCTAGGATTTGAATTTATTTCTGCCTGATCCCAAAACCCATGTTCTTCCCACTATATCACGTTGATTCCATGGTACACTCAATGGCAGAAGAACTTCATCAATCAGGTAAACTGATATAATACTTCAACCATTAGCATACTACCACCAAATTTGATCTCTGTTTCATAACAGTTGAAACATTTAATTTAAAACTGTCTTCTTGTTTCTCCAACTATGTTAGTTTATTAGACCATGTAATTTCACATTTAAAAATCTGAATAATTAATATATTCACATAGTTCACATTTCAGAAAGAATTTTTAAAATGCAATGAAAGATGTCCTTTTACTTTGTCCACTAAACACCCAGAACCCCTCTTATAAGTAAACCATGTTATTAGATTTTTAAGTCTCCTTCTAGGAATGTTTATACCTATATAAGCAATTTTGTACATAGCTATTTTTCCCGTTTTTAACATAAATGGCAGCTTCTGTATCTTGTTTTGTTCACCTAATATATTCCAGAGATATTCCATGTCAGTATATATACTGATCTCTGAAATTCTTGTTTACTGCTTCACAGTATTCTGTTAACCAGGTATACAATAATTTAGTGTTTATCCAGTTCTATATAGTGTTGAACATTTAGATTGTTTCCTTTTTTAAATTTTATTTATTTATTTTTGGCTGTGCTACTCCGGCTTTTCTCTAGCTGTGGCAAGCAGGGCCTACTTTCTGGTTGCACAGGCTAGTGCACAAGCTTCTCATTGTGGTGGCTTCTCTTGTTGCAGAGCACAGGCTCTAGGACATATGGACTTCAGTAGTTTCGGCATGTGGACTCAGAAGTTGTGGCTCATGGTCTTAGTTGTTCCTCGGCATGTGCAATCTTCCGAAATAAGGGATTGAACCCATGTCTCCTGTGTTAGCAGGCAGATTCTTTACCACTGAGCCTCCAGGGAAGCTTTTTTTTTTAACCAAACAATGCTACAGATGCCTAACTTTCTAACCTACTGTCCATCCTCCAGAAAGTTCTGGGCACAACTTTGTGCAATTGAAAAACCATACAATTGCAACTAAATCGAAAGCTACCACTTATTTAAGCTGTAACTGAATATACCTGCAAGATGTATGAATCAAGCATATTTTAAAAAATAATGAGCTATGCCTGCAGCTGGACTACCCTCCACACAGCCTAAGAAAATTATACCAAATTATTCAGGAAATTTACTGAGCCTACCCCAAAATGGGAAAAGTATATGTATGTATACACTTATATACACTTGAGTGTGTGTGTGTGTGTGTATTTCAAACCTGTAAAACTGTCAGGTATATAAATACCTCTTGTGGTAGAATCACTCAAGTTCTCAATGATGGAGGGAGGA